GTTGAGCATGGCGTTACGTGAGGGATAATAAAGACACGATAGCCACGATAGCCGAACGGTGAAGGGGTCGGAGTGGCCGACTCGAGATCCGGGGAACGCGGGTTCGATCCCACCGCGCCGCTCGACTATTGTGGTGAGCCCACTCGAGGGGCTAATAATGGGACTATTAGTGATTTGGGCAATACAAATTGCTAATAATCTTTTTTTTTTAAAATGAAAAAAATTACACATTTTCTGCATCTGTTATTGAAAAGGCTTATGACCAGTAGTGGAAAGTTTCTAAAACCTTGGATTGTTTCTAAATTGGCTTTCACACCTCCCGATTTAATATCAACCCTGTTTGGAATTTAAGGGTTACAAAAAGATGGCTAGATAGAGCCAAATAATTCAAATCTGCTTCTGAATTGCAGCTCGATGCAGTGTTTGTCCGGGAAAATACTGTTCCGGGACAAACACTGCATCGCCAAACAGAAAAACACCAACGTATTGACTACAAAACACTTTGTTTCCAAAGAAAACAAAACACTTCGCAGTCAATGCAGACGAACGTTTGGTTTCTTAGAAATGTAAATGTAGAGGAAAGCTTTTAACAATGTAGAGAAAAGCTTTTAAGAGTACGATTTCGATACTGGATGAAGGTAGCAGCAACACTGTTTGCCTGTTGTCTTATTGTCGTGAATATTCTATCGTCTTTAATTATTTCCATGAGCTCAACTTTCTTTCAAAATTTTGATTTATTTAGTCAAATGAATTTTATAATAATGGAGTTTTATATGACGCTGAAATCATCTGAATTAAATTAAAACTCAAGTGGGTATTTATTCAAGTAGGTGTTTTATTGCAAAGTAAGTAAACAAACTAAGTAAGTCCATTTATACGAGTATTGTACGTCCCACTGCAGGGAACAGTACCTCTAGTACGAAAAACTTTCGAGTTCGTTTCGTTTGCGTATTCAAAGTGTCATCGAAAAATTTTGTATGAAAAATTAAACAGCGCCCCCTAGGGCGGCTATAATATAGGGGGCGCTGTTTAATTTTTCATACAAAATTTTTCGATGACACTTTGAATACGCAACGAAACGAACTCGAAAGTTTTTCCTACTAGAGGTACAGGCTTCACTCCAAATTAATCCCCCAAAATTCATCTAGAGGCTGTAATTACTGTTGTTTCAGAAATACTTACAACACGACTATTTCGGTGTTAAACATGCCTCCATTTATCATAAACATACGATGCTTTTCACATAAACTTATTGTAGTGCCAACATGGAATACATTAGCGCACATTAGTGCCAATTCGCTCCCCAGCGGTGTCGCTTTCACAAATTAAAACGTCTCTATGTGACGTCAAGTGATACGGCAATTAACTTAATTGGCGATATGATAATTGGGCGTGACCTTGCGTGCGCACAAAAGTACAGTCAGACTCTGTTATATCTATGTATATCCCAACTAATATTATAAATGCGAAAGTAACTCTGTCTGTCTGTCTGTCTGTCTGTCTGTCTGTCTGTCTGTCTGTCTGTCTGTCTGTCTGTCTGTTACGCTTTCCCGCTTAAACCTCGCAACCGATTTTGATGAAATTTGGCGTAGAGATAGTTTGAGTCCCGGGAAAGAACATAGGATAGTTTTTATCCCGGTTTTTGAAACAGGGACGCGCGCGATAAAGTTTTTCTGTGACAGACAAAATTCCACGCGGGCGAAGCCGCGGGCGGAAAGCTAGTTGTAGATAAGTAAGACGAGTGCGGAACAAAATAAAGTTGGCAAAAAAAGTGCATTGGTCTGCTGTTTTTGTGCTGATTCGTGGTAAATTCGATATGTCACACTTTTGAAAGTTAAAAGCTGGTATCCTGGCTGAATGAAGGGTGTGAAGGATCATTTAGTGAACTGTTCACCCTATCCACTAAATCCATTTACCGTGTACCAAATACGCTGATGAGTCATTGTTGTATAGGATCTGAGACAATAAGTTGGGTGAGATAGTACACATATTTATCGCTCCCAGTCAGATGGGGCTGTGAAGTCTCAGTTAATGAAATCTCAGTCTTTGAAATGAAAGCGGAACCGCGATAATCTAACTCTTTGCCGGCATTATATTAGACTAGCTTTCCGCCCGCGGCTTCGCCCGCGTGGAATTTTGTCTGTCACAGAAAAACTTTATCGCGCGCGTCCCCGTTTCAAAAACCGGGATAAAAACTATCCTATGTTCTTTCCCGGGACTCAAACTATCTCTATGCCAAATTTCATCAAAATCGGTTGCGAGGTTTAAGCGGGAAAGCGTAACAGACAGACAGACAGACAGACAGACAGAGTTACTTTCGCATTTATAATATTAGTTGGGATTAAGCGATATACTTTACGTTTTCCGACTGTACGAGATGGTTGCTGGTGACATGATGTAATATCTTTATTCTAAAGTAATTAGTGTGTGCGCAGCCACTTTAGCGTCGCTATTCAAAGTAATACTGAAACAATAACAGTATAATGTCACCATTAAAATTTAACATCAGGCAAATGTTCTAACTGAAAACTAACTAGCTTCATTGAACTAATATTACACATTATAGCCCAATGACTAGCTTCGTCTTAATATGAATTAGAACTTCACTGATGAGTAGAACTATTTCAATCTCGATAGAAAATAAAATATGAAAATATATTTTTGTGCAAAATAAAATGACTAACTTATCGGCATTTTTAATTTACACAAGCCTAACCATGTTCAGTGAACACTGAAAAAAGTCTAAAGATCATGCTATTCGGCTATTGGCCACTGGAAACACAAAGCAACGCGGATTGACAAAAAGAGAAAGTCGATAGGAAGTGTACCTATTAAAAACACTAGGGTTGTTCAAACCAACCTTCCATTCTGTCGCAAAATTTTACTTATTTATCAATGAATTGGTGTATATTCCATGAACATGGTGAATGACTCCTTCATGAGCGTATTCCAAAAATAAATGTAATAAACTAATAACAATAGTGACAATCGAATTCAAAAATATATTGTAATTTTTGTCATATTATTTATTTCCTATGTGGATGTAATAAATAATGTCTTATTTATTAGTATAGAAATGTCTTATTTGATCTCAGTGTACCTACCATGAGTTTACGTTAGGTGTGCTTGCTAGCGAGTACGTTAATAATCTCTATGAAGATTTTGTTTCTTGAAAGTAGCCACTAGGGGCGCTGCACAATATGTCATACAATTAATGTCATTTTTTTACGCAGTCGCTAGCGAGCACACCTAACGTAAACTCATGGTAAGCGCACAGAACAAATAATAATAACTTTTAGAACGTGCGTCAGATATTGTTCATACATTACATATCTTTCATGAGTGCTGAAAAAAATAGGTTAATTTTAGCGACCAGCAGCTCACTAGGCACCCCTCTAAGCACCTAACGATTAATAGAACAGATTTACAGGACAATGCATAACTAAAATGCCTACATATTGTTCAAAGTTAACTATAAGCCCTAAAATGGATTACCGGGCAGCCCTAGTCCCCACAATCGAATAACCAAAAATGTAGAGACGGTCAAAAAGGCTCAATGAAAATAGAGCCCGTTGTTTCGATGCGGGAATGACAGATAACGAAGTTCGGAATATGCGCAGCCTTTCGCTGGAAGAAAAAGTTTAGCAATAAACAAAGTGGCAAAAGGAGTCCTGGAAATATACTCGTATTTACGTCTATTTCGGAAAATTTACAGGAAAATGTCTCCGACAGACAAACAAAGTGAAGCCACCAGATTATTACTTAATGGTTCCTACTTAAGAGTGGCATTACATCACGAGTTCAAAGTAAATATCATTTTCATTGAAAGGAATGGTCGTGAAACACTGCAGAATAATAGAGAATAACGACTACCTATAACGTTCAACGATTAATATGATATCTCCGAAATTATTACAATCATTTCAATTCTGCCTAAAGTAGGGCCCTACCTACTTTACCTGCGGTCGGCATGGTATGTTTTTGTCTAGTGTTTTGAGTAAACAAAGAGAGATCAGAAATAAACAGCAAAGTCCTAGAAAGTTCGATATCGGGATCCGTAACTATTTTAATAGCGTTGTTACTGTCGGTCATAATTTAAAGTCCTCGCTATAGATCAAGGGGCGATTGATGGCTCAAGTTTGCTAATTTCGACTATAAATCGCCATGAAGAAATTTAGGGTCATTCCAACGATATTACAGGGCTTAGAAAATGTAGGTTATTGATTTCATTGATGCGACGATTGGCTTGGTTTTCTTACTGGATGCAATAACATTTGCGGGTTCGAACTTCAGTAGGGCAAATACTTATTATTTAGCATTTATTGTATGTACGTACATCCATCTATGTATTTAATTATGTATGTCGTCATAGTAAAGGTTTAATTAGTTAAGTGATAAGTATATTTGGCTCGACTTACTTTGTCCTGCAGTGGACATAATTTGGCTGATCATACAGGCTGAGAAGACTTCATTTGTTTATGTGGTACTAGCTTGCCCGCGGCATCACCCGCGTTAAATTTAGTTTGTCACAGATCGTCATAAATTACAGCCAATATGTTATTCTTGGTTATAAACAATAATACTGTAAAGTTTCATCAGAATCCTTTCAGTAGATTTTGTGTGAAAGAGTAACAAACATGCTAACATCCAGACATCCATACAAACTTTTGCATTTATAATTGTATTAGTAAGAAGTAAGATAAGATAAATACTTAAGACGTTCATATGAATTCATTTATTTCTCACAAGAAAATAGACCAACACCATGCCAACGAAAATGAATGCCGTCCAAACATTGCAAACATAATAACTGGTCTATGAAATTTAATACTATCCTCTTTGTCCGAGATCAGGAAAACATGGAGGTCGTAGATAAAAAACGCATTATCGCAGTTATGACTTTCATAACGCATTTCGCCGTAAAGGAGCCTCTGGACGTTTATACGACATAATAAAAGCGTGGGACATGTCGCGAATTGGAAAATAATCTATAACTTTATTCAGAAGTTATTAGGAGTCGATTGTCGATTCAATTTTGCGGTCGTGGTGGAGAGAAAAGGGTGCTTATTACCTGTAAAAGGTTCATACTTTTATTGTAAGAATATTCTAACCGCGTCTGTGCCCAAGTAACACGCAAGCTGTATATTCACTGAAGTTAAGATTGATTTACGTTTTAAAGTCAGACTATCACTTTAAATCAGTTTTGACTTAGTTTAAATGCTTTTGAGTAGAATGCGGTAAAATTTACAATGCATGAAGCTATTATATGGTCTAAAAAATTAAGTTAATTGGCTTATAATCATACTAAAACATTAATTACTTTTAATATACAGCATCTTTAACAGCATTTACACTAACACAAAGGTTAAAACCGTATATTAGTAAATAAGAAAACCTAATGCATTAAATAAACGTTGTCGAAATATTCTATAGTGCATTCAGATATATTAACACATTTTACAGATTGAACGCATTTTTATGATCTTTTCTTATGCTTATTTACTGCTCAGCATTAGCCAAACATTTACTAAAGTTTTAGCTCTGTTATCTTCTTATTTTATTGTTACTTTAAAGCTTTTAGCACTATTTAGATAAATAAAAAAAATAAATAATTAACTTAAACTAAAACCTTAAATAATAAAATTAAATATAAGTAATTAATATTTACATACAAAACATATTTACACTTATTTACACATTAACACATTTACATTTATTATTTACATTTAAATACACATACATAAATAACATTTCATATCCTACAAATATTTACACACGCGTAGTAGCCAACAAGTCGAATTATAGCTTCGCGCATCTATCGCGCGAAGTAGCTATCGCGGCGCGGCACAGTGTACTCGCCGCCTGCGAGTGCCGCTTACTACGTCACCGCGCCCGCCTGTTGTTCGAGCCGAGCGTTCGGCGATCGTGGCCGAGCGTGCGCCGCCGCACCTCAAACTAGTCCGAACCTATGCACGACGCGGAGCGCACGCCGCTCGCTCGCTCACTATACCTACCGGCTGACGCGACTATCACTCGTAACTTTGCGTTGTTATTTCTTCCTCGCACTCCTTCTATACAAATAAATTAGCGGTACACTCGGCCGCTAAAAAGGTAGCAGAATGGCGCTGGACGCAGGCCGATACCAACCGGTCAACATGGAAATCATTGGGGGACGCCATATTCAGCAGTGGACGTCCCATAGCTGTAATGATGAAGATGATGAGTACTCACAGCCGGGAGTATTGACGCACAACTGGTGGCAGTAGCCCCACTCCTTGCACTCGTCGCGGTCGGCGCACGTGCGGTTGTCGGCGGCCAACGCCAGTCCAGCGCCGCACGCGCACGCGCCGCCCGCCGGCGAAGCCACGCACTTGTACTCGCATTCCAGCGCTGGGCATGATGCAGTCGCTGGGAAGAAAAAACACGTATGTAGTATACACGGATTATGTAGTCTAGTGTAAGACCACCTGCTTCAGATGCAGAGGTTCCGGGTTCGATTCCCAGTGGCGGCAGTTAGAGGTAAGATAGGCAGAACATCTGTGGTTGAGGATTCCGGGTGAAGCTCGCTTCCGCCTTCGGCCTGATCATCGCTTACCATCAGACGAGTAAGATACAGGCCAAGAGCTTCCTCGTTGGGGATAAGAAATAAGTATACGTACATACTTACAATGCAATGAAGCTTTCGTGAAAATCATCTCGAGTGTTGAAAATTTAGGTCCTGTGATTCAGAATATGACTAAGAGTTCCCGTCAATTTGTTGTCATATCAGTTCTATGAGACTACGTGTCATCTTTCTAAGCGCTCAATGAGATAATATGACTGTCTTTACAGAACAGGAAGGCGGGAATCAAAACATTTTCCTTATGTAAGTGATTCAGTGTATGCTTACAAAGTTTAAACCAGCTATAGTCTGGTCCGTGAGCACGTAGAATTTTGACCAATGACCCCAAGCTACCCATCCTTATCGCTCGCGCGTAATTATGTTGTTATCGCGCTCACACACTCACTGCGGGTGCCAGTCGCACAGTCGCGACAGCAATAGGCCAAATAGGGTCATTGGCCAAATTTCTACGTGCTCACGGACCGGGCTTTATATTTTATAGCTTCATGTACCTACGCTAGCACAAATTAGCATCAGTAAACACCATTCTATTACAGTTTAAGAATGCAACTTACAACAAGCAGTCTCCTCATCAGCATTATCTTCGCAGTCCTTCTTGCCGTCGCACAGCTGGCTCCTGGCAATACACTTGTGGGTCCCTCCGGGGCCGCCTTTGGGACAGAGGTACTTGTTGTCGGGGCAGGCGATGGCGGTGCAGTTGGCCTCGTCGGAGCCGTCGGCGCAGTCCTTGTATCCGTCGCAGTGGTACGTCGCCGGGATGCAGAGCGCGTTGCTGCAGCGGAACTGACCGATGTGGCAGGCTGGGAAACCTGGAAAGAAGAATACAGGTATTTTGTGATGTTTTCAGGTGTAAATTTTACTTTCCGATGTCATCTACTTTGACGATGTGGATAATGGCAAAAGGAGCAAATGCTGATAAGGCCAAATCCATTTGTAGAGCTGTGCAGAGATACTTTGTAGGAGACGGGTGATGACAGAACTACGCTGCACGGATCGAATGCCGTACAGCTTAGTCGGGTTTTCTTGTCACCTACTTGTTAAGATATTTATGTGACACTAGCAGCCGCCTGCGACTTCTTACGTGTGGATCCCATTTTACACTCTTAGGGGTTGAATTTTGCAAAATCCCGTCTTAGTGAGCACCTACGTCCTAAAAGGAACCCCCATGCAAAATTTGAGACTCCTAGCACTTGTAGTGTCTGAGATTTCGTGATGAGTGAGTGAGTCAGTCAGTGACCATTCGATTTTATAGATATTAGATAGATTCAACAGCTCTGGACAAGAAACAAAAAAACAAAAAAAGTTAGAAGCATATTGTTCCAAAAAGAGCTGCCTTTTATCAGACAAAAAATTTGGAACATCCATAACATATATTTATTCTGGTGACGTAAACCGTTTGATGAAATAATGGCTGCAACCAAATATCCGCCTACTTACTACAATGCGCCTCGTCGGAGTTGTCCCCGCAGTCGTCTTTGTGGTCGCACTTGGCGGTGGCGTCCACGCACTTGGTGCCTGAAGCGCAGCGGAACTGGTCCAGCCGGCACGCCAGGCTCTGCCCCGGGCAGTCCTGCTCGTCCTTGCCTGTTCTGCAGTCTAAGTAGCTGGAAGGAGATAGCAGGACATGGTAAGAAATAGAACCATCCAAGAAGTATCAACAAGATACATTATCCTAAGGTCTATTTGTTTAGTCTCTTCTTTTGAGGTCTGCTGGGCTACAAAATGTACCGAAAATTTTGTGTCAAACTTCAGAATCAGAAAAGTAGCATATCGAAATTATGGAGAGCAAGTTATGCATAGGTTTTTCAATAGATAAAATGAAACGCGAAAGATACTTTACTAATTCACAAAGCAAGGCAGACTTTCCGCTTACAAAAAAGCTCGTATTCGTATACAAAGGATTAGAAGGGTATTTCTTTCACGGGCACAATGACTTATGCATTTGCTCCTTAGCTACACAAATCCTATCCTACCTATTTTAAAAGTAAAATTACTTCTTGTACCTACATTTAAATTCACAAAGAAGACGAGACAAAAGGGTTGCTTGCATTTTTATTCTATTTGGGGTTAAATCCGACATGATAAGGTCTATGTGAGATGTGTGAGTTAGGAACATCACTTGTGATTGGCATAAGGCATTACGACCAAATAAGTAACTAAACTATGATACAGGAGCACAATCCAATGACCCCAAGCAACCCATCCTTATCGCTCGCGCGTAATTATATTGCTGTCGCGACTGTGCGACGGGCGCCAGCAACATAATTACGCGCGAGCGATAAGGATGGGTAGCTTGGGGTCATTGGACAAAATTCTACGTGCTCACGGACCAGGCTTTACACCGTCAGCATTAAATGTAAAGTGACTTACCCATCACATTTCTTTTCCTTAGGTATACAAGGCCCCTGTGAAGACACTTTGCCGTGCCCCGCGCCCTCCACGCCACACTGGAAATCATCAGTCTGGCACTTGCGGTACACTGAAACAATACATAGATAGCTTGAGTGATTGCTCAATTTATTACATTTTAGTATACAGGGTGTTAGGTAAATGGGTATATGAGCCGACACTAGCCCATGTTAACATGGGCATATAAATGGTATGGTGAAGTCAGAAAATTGATATCTTCATTTTAATTATTTTAATTTTCATACAAATCGGATTTAATAAAATTAATTTTGTGTGAAAATTGAAAAAAAAAATGATAATCCTGACTTCAACATACCATTTATATGCCCACGTTAACATGGGCTAGTGTCGGCTCATATACCCATTTACAGAACACCCTGTAGATGTTATTATTAATTTATTTTCTGTGGATTAACAGTTTTACCTATGTAAAAAAGTAGTCCTATAGTTGCGTAGTGTAGTAGTTCCTGTAACGATGGAGTGTAACTCGAAAGTGGCTGAAAAGTTGTCACAAAACTTCACGAACTATGTATTTGACGCTGACTAATAGTAAAGATTACTCGCATAGTACACATCCCTGTAGCCAGCCAGCTTAACAAAACAATTACCTAAACATCGTTCGGTATTTGCCCACAAGGCACAAGATCTCTCGATCTATCGGATTTCTTGCGATAGAACAATAGGTTTCATTTCTCGATCGCCAGCCGAGTGTGAGCCTTTTTCCGGACCAGCGGGCCACAGCCGGACACCATATACCTATGTGGTATTATAATTACAAGCAAGTTTAATACAGGCAATGCCCGCGGCGTTGCACGTGTCAATTGCGTGCCTCTCAGAAAAAATATGTAGCTACGGTGATATTTGGAAAGTTTGTAGGCGGTTGTACGTCATCACACGAAACCATTACCTGATTCTGAAAATTCTTTACTAGTTTATGGTAAACTGCCTACTCATTGGGGAATTGATTGTGCCTTTGACTACTCGGAATCTTCACAAATATACCAACGACACGTTTGAAATTTGGTCATTCTGAAAATTCTCGTAACTTTTTATTGATGTTGTTTCGTAAGCGAATATAAAACTTGTTTTCAGAGTAAAAACATTAAATTAAATTATATCCAAACAAAGAATCTATCTAAAACTACATTTCAGGCATAACTTCATTTATTTTGCTTCCTAAATGAGTCTGGAAAAACTAACGTATTACCAAACAAAGTAGAGCGGGGTTTGTAAAAAGAAAGTGACCGCCCTCTATGCACCGTGTTATTCCCTACTTCTAAGAAAAACTGTTTAAAACTGCACAAAGGGTAGAGCGCGGCACTCGACTCAAAGCACCCTGTGCCGGGGATTTTTGCATAACTTTATATGAAAATCGCATTATATCGCGGTTGTCTAAGCCGGCCTTTTCATTTCCAGCACAATGCCTCGCAAATGGAGTGCGCCTGATCACTGTTTTGTATTAATAGGAGTTCCGAGTGAGGACATAAAGATGCTGTGGTAGGAAATTAGAACTTCAGAGGAAAATAGATCGAGAAAGAAAATACACTTCGGTTTTATTAATATAACAGTTTTGACCCAGGACCATTAAAATAAATAGTTACTTAGGCGTTGGGACAGCGATTCACTGTGTGCCAGATACACCTAGTGTGTGGGTGTGAGACTATTCCAAAATCCAACCACATTTAGTAAAATATTAGTTGCCTATCTCCGTATCATCTCAAAATATATCTAGTCCGAGGTTATATTAATACAGACCTAAGAAAACCTAGCCTAAAAAGTTCTAGGAAAGATAATTTATTCCACATAAAGGCAAAAAAGGAGCAAAAACGCCCAGCAGACTTGGCATTGAAAGTTTTCAATATCCCAAGAACAAACTAACACTCAGACCTTTCCTAAACTAGCAGAGCCTGGGATTGATCCAGCCTCAATATCGCCTCTTTTGAGCCTCTGTCGGGGAACACGGGAGGAGAAAACAGTAGGTTTGGGCTTTTACAAAAACTTTGTTAGAAGTTAACTAAACATTTTTGTTGTTGTTGTTATGTTTGTTGTTGTCTTCTGAAAATGAATGATGTCTGTATTTACTCGATTACAGCATTATTACATAACTCTGGAAAAATGTTTCTGTACTTGGTTAGTTTGATTAAAGTCAGAAAGATGAAAAAAATTGTGGTAGAGTTAAATATAGTCTGCAGATTTATTTTTGCTTCTACATTTTAGGCGACTCTTGTTGAGATAAATTCAATGTAGGATAGCAATTATGAAATAGGAGTAAGTATCATGGATGCCGAATGCGTGAGAAGTCTTGTTTGCTATGATGACTGGCAAAAAACTGAAACAGATTTATCGTTGCGACTTCAAAAAGAAGCTACCTACCATGAGTTTACGTTAGGTGTACTCGCTAGCGAAAACGTCAAAAATCTCTATGGAGATTTTGTTTCTTGAAAGTAGCCGCTAGGGGCGCTGCACAATATGTCATACAATTAATGTCATTTTTTTACGCAGTCGCTAGCGAGCACACGTAACGTAAACTCATGGTAAGCACACTGTACAAGGTTACTGGCTATCTTTCTGCTATATACGGGAGAAATAGGAGCGTAAGCTTACGTAGATGAACAACGTCTATAGATTGAAGAAAAGAAGAGCCATATTGAAATGCTGCAATTCCAAATTGAAAAAGGATTTGCTACTTTAAAGGAATACCAAGTAGGGATACATGCTGTTTATTTGTTAATGTATGCGGCAAAGTATGACTTACTACATTGATAGCTTAAACACTCCTGTCTCATATTCCCTCCTAACTAATTATCAAGTTGACAGGTGTTGTTTATTCAGCAATACAATAGAAAAACATTATTATTTTTTTCCACATGTTCCAACTTTCTGGGCATATTTCCCGAACATTTTTCCAATCTATTCGGAACATAACTTTTTTATGAAATGGGAAATTCAGCAGTCTTTTCCTACTACGAAAAATGAAAGATAAATACGGATATTTAATAACTTTAAGAGAGATTCTGGAAGCAATCCCTTGGATTTTTCCATGTTCCACACAATATCCTTATGGTTAAATTCCATTTCCCCGTTCCAAGGTCGAGGCTATAGTGTCGGAGGATTACGGAGGGCCGTGAACCGCGTTCCAGTAATACCCTCCTCGCAGATGTCGCGTTTTTACAACTACCATTTTATTTAGATCTGCCGAATAAAAATTTATTTCCACCGATACGAGCGGATTGTTGGCTGTGTGTGTTATGTACACTCCGGTGTTTGTTTCAGGAGATCGTTTAATGGGGCTGAAACGTATAGGGAACGAAACGTATTCGTAATAAAAAAATCTGACTGCGTACATTTTTATTACTTTGATATAGCAGAAGATAGTAAAGGTTTATGTGAATGTTATTAAAGGGAGAAACGAAAGCCTTAGGAACGAAACAACTTATTCCTCGACGAAAAAAGTACAAAATTAGAGAGGCAGTGGTACTGGCAGGTGACGTGTTAAGAAAAAAATACAGCCACCCGCACAAAGCGTTTCGCTTGCTCTTTTCTGTTGCAATAGCAGGGGCCTGGACTGCCTGTCGATGTATTTTCAAACACTAGACCGGGCGTCTAAAATACATGGAGAAACCTCCCAAGCTTAAAACCAGATGTGAATTTGATCAAATACCTACCTACATAAAGGCGAATATAGATCTAAACAAAAATATAAATGTTAAGGTAAAAATAAACACATACCTAGTAGGAAATTCTGAATTCTACATTCGAAGGATTACACTCTTACAAACAAGTCACTATTCAGAAGAGTTGAAGCAGAAAACCAGCCAGCAGTAGAAATAACTATAACGATCAACAAAGGAATGGGTTTGGGGCACAAAGTGTGGATCCGGGCTCAAATTGATCGTCTGGGGCGCAATCGGCCCGGGGCCCGTGCAATCTCACGGATGTGCAAGATACAATAAAAGGCAAAGAAAATCGCAGCACACGAGAACAAGAAAATACTTATAGCCATGGACGATTACATCCGACCAACGCAAAATAAAGTTTCCGAGATATACCGCTTGACTCCAGCTCCCAGAACACTGTTCGAGGCGTGTGGGGAAACGCGGAGTAAAAAGCGAATGCAATAATTGCGGACTATTACGACTCCGTCGTTGCGAAGTTTCAATGTTTTTCTTGTAAAATGCAGATGGGGACAGGGCTACCAACGGAGGGTTTGTACGAACTTCTTGGCCTTGCGGATCAGAATTGACGGTTGTCGCTGTGTAGTTACAATACTCAGTGTGCATAAAGCACTTAATTAATTAGGTGCCTATAGTTAATTATCAAATTAAACAATGATTGGCGAAATATTTAACCATCCCCATTTACACCCCTGCCAAGAAGGAGGGGTGTAAGATTTAATATTGGGAGTGATGTAAGATTCTGTTCAATTGATCTGGCCAAATTGACTGACCTATATCAATCAGAATAATCTGACTACTATAAATCTGATAGTATGTAAAATGGACAACTGGTTGGGCCATGAAATACACCTGTGGTTTCTCGTAATCTCCATAACAGTTGTTATAATCTCAGTTTAATCGGAACATTCAGAAGATTATCTACACACATTTGCGAGCTCGCAATGGTAACCCTAGATGTAAGGAGCTTTTTATTGGGCAAACTTCGTCGCCGCAGGTGAAATAAATCCGGAAGTAGCGGGATGAATGTTTTATGAGCTTTTCACTTGTACTACGTGTTGCTGCTTTTCCCCTTTTGAGGAGCGATGCCGCTTCAAATGAACGAGATTTTATTTTAAAACGGCATTTGCAAAATTGACAATCTTTTTGAAGGAAATTGAGGGTGTCAAGATGTTTACAAAGTAAAATAAAATAAGAGTCTGGTGGACTTTGGAATCAGACTTTGGTATTCTTCAATATCGATATCGTAAATGGGATCGGTAACTTTACGGCAGTTTTACCCGAAAGTTGCCAGAATATTCCCGTCCCAAAGATCCTGTAACGTTTATTAAAAATCGAGGCAATTTCCTCAACCCAGGACTTCAGGGAAGTTCAGGGACAGTGGATTTACATGAAAACAGCACATCAGCGATACGAGTGGCAAACAAAAACGCAATTTCCACACCATTAAAAGTTCCCCACTTGTCAGAAGTTCACCCATTTGTGACCAGCGTAACTTGCCCTGTACACCAAACCTAAAGACCCCTATGGAACCTTATTTGGTAAGAACAGGGACAGTTGAGGAAGACCAGTGTACGCTGGTCGTGGTATTTCGTTTAGTAGAGTTCCCTTTACAAGAAATAGGGCGGCATATTTTGGTCGCTTACTCAAGTATTGCAGTAATGAGTGGAAGGTTTATCTAAAATCAGGTGAGAACTGTTTGTTGTCATGGACCTAGTGAACACTGTCCGAAAAGTATCCGACCAGCAACGTCGGTAAACTTCAACGACGATACATTGGCTCATTTAGGTTTGGCTAGTCACACAAAATATTATTTGTACAAATATCTATCATATAAGTCAAGTAATAAGTACACGTGTAAGTTATATGAGGAAACCATAGAGATTTGGAACATCATACGTCACAACTCACACCCTTATCAAACTTGTGGCATGCTTTACGGTTAATTGGGCTACCTGGCATCAAAGTAATTTGAACTCAACAAACAATTAGGTATGTTAATTAAATGAATATTGCTCTGAAATATTTTAAAATATTTAAAAGGAGAAACACCAGTTGTTACATAAAAGAACCTCCTTCATTTTTTTAAATCAAAATATACATAATGTCGGATACTTTTCGGACAGACCGTGGTTTAGTTTTCGTGGAAGTGTGTCAGTGTTAACCCTCTAGCCAAGATTCCCATCTGCTCCTAACAAGGTAGCCTTGATGAGTGCGGCGTGCTACATTTTAGAATCTAGACATACATTGTGGGGGTTGAGATGTTTAACTAAAAAATAAGTACCTAACACTGATATGGAAAATCTAGCATAACTAAATTTAATGGAACATAATAATATGTTATTGATTTCATCAATTCATAGATGAAAATGAAAAGTTTTTTAATAGAAGTTTAATTTTGTCAATAGTAGAGATTTATCAAGAGTAGGTATTTATTTTTCAGAACAAACAGCACTATTGGACCGGAAGTCCTTACTACTGTATTCTTTGTTAAGGTATTATTAACCAAATAACAATCAATCAATGCGTGCAGTGTAAGTTTCCATAATTCTGATAACGTTGTCGTAAGATCAAGCATCACTTCCCGTCACATATCAAATACAACAATCAAAAACTTGCCGATATTCAAATGGGCCCGAATCAACCCGTTCCGTTCCGGTACGTATTAAAAGTTAGTCCCGTCCCGCATAACGACGTCCCGTGGGCCCCGCATTATGTGGCCGGAAATAGTGAGGCTCTCTCGATATCGATGTAATGTTGAGAAACTTTGAGGACATGCACAGAACATAATAAAACTTTCACTATTTAAAGATCAGTATATACACATTTTTAGCAGGAAAAAACAATGCTACAGGTTTGTTACATCCAAGTAAGATATTTATATGTAGAGTTGGGTTTAAATCTAGTCTTGTGTCATGTTGCTGAGCGAGTAAGTTAAAAAGATTTGGTCTCATTGTGAATAATGCTCTTCTACTATTAGGAAGGAATCTAGGAAGGCCTTTGTCCAGTAGTGGGTGTCATTTGGCTAAAACGAATGAACGAACAAACTATGTATTAGGAATCTATTAGGAACATGGACTATTGGACTTACACAATTCTGGTTATTTTGACATTTAAACCCAAAATATTGTAGACTTTAGTGTTTGTGATTTGATATTATAGATGAACTACACTGAAATGTCCCACCGACGACATTGACAGAAGGGCGCCACCATCTTCGTGCAACTATATGGTTGGTTAATAACTCTATGGGTTTCCACCGTGGCAAAAGTCGGAACTAGCGATCCGCTATTGACGGTGGCCCCCCTGGCAGTGTCAAATAAAGGACAGTTCAGTGTAGTTCATCTATATCATAGTATCGACAGCTATTCCCAAACTATCAGTTCGCGCACCACTAGCGGAGACGCTACGGTATTTGCATATTTGATGAAGGGAATTTTGCGTATTGACTGAAATGTATTATGGATGTGTGTAATTGATATGGGTGTTCCCCAACAGTCGCAAGACAACAACGGGGTTTCATTGTCTTCGAGGAGTTGCAAATTCAAAGGGATTGGTGATTTGGGGTGACAGTTTTGCTATAGGGATACATTTTACTAGTGAGAGGATCATCTGAGAAAGAAACCTGGGAAATTTCATGAGTAAGTTGTAATACATATTTATTTTTCTTACAATAAATAATTGTAAATGTAGAGTAGATTTTGAAGAAAAAAATGGGAACGCTGTCTGTAGCATAGAAAATACGCACGCACGAAAACAGTATTGTGGCATTATCCTAGTGATGCTCGAACCTTCTACATAATAGCTGTAAGCGCGTATTGTAGGAAACCTATGTCCAGCAGTGCTGCACTGCTACGGGACTATTCCCACCTCCCGTTCCCACCGCTGCAAGTTTGACCGCCAATAAAAACCCAACCAGTGAAGGTCAAGTTTGTTCCGGGAGTAAGTTAAACTGTTATTTAATCAGAAATCAACGAATTTAATCAGAAGAACGTAGGAGGAGTGCTGCACTGCTAAACCTTTTTTTGTCATCTGTCATCCGCTTTGCAACGGAGGGAAGTCGAACCTTAACTTCGAACTCCTCCTATGTTCTTCTGAGTAATTTCGTTGCGGGTCCAATGACAGTTTAACTTTCCCCCGGGACAAACATGACCTTCACAGTTTGGGTTTTTATTGGCGGTCAAGCTGTAGATCCTGGCTACAGAGGAGTTGCAGTGGTGGGAAAGAGATGTGGGAGTAGTCCCGTGCTAAACCTCGCCGCAGTCCCCTTCGACCCGTCCCTTTTTCTCGCGGTATCGGCACGTGCCCGGCAGCTTCTCTCCCCAAACCTATGTTAGGCTACCGTCCCCCAGCAACGCCCTAGGCCGAGGTCCGAGCACCACTCGGGGGCGCCCTTGGGCTCGTTGTTTAAATTTTGCGTTCACCTATTGTCCGGTGAAGCTGAGAAAGCCGCTTAAGGTTCGGCCAAACCAACGCGATCACACGCGATCAGCCGGCGTGCACCGGCAGCAGCAGACTTAAATGCATTAATCGCCATCGCTGCACGCCGGCTGATCGCTTGTGATCGCGTTGGTTTGGCCGAACCTTTACGGCAATCAGCACAGTCATTCCGAAAAAAAATACACTGCTAAGGCCTGATGCTGTGTCCATCAGTGAACTGCTAAGGGCTGATAATAAAGAGGTTGGTACTCACTGCAGTCAGCCTCGTCGGTGCCGTCCACGCAGTCGACGTGCATGTCGCAGCGCTGGTGCGGCGGGATGCAGTACGTCTTGTTGAACACGTACTGGCCGCAGGTCAGCTGGCCCGCCTCGCACTCGGGCGGCGCTGGGGACAAAAACAATTACNGTAATGAGGTCAGTTGGGTCATCTTCTATGAGTAGGTCTATTGTGGGCTATAAAGGCCCTGCCTAGCAAATCCTCCATTTGCCATTGGTAATTTAGTAAGAATCGTGCTTTTCCTGACATGAAGACGATGATAGAAAGGCTCTAACTCTAGAGATTAGCTGGATCATCTTCTACGGGTAGACTCCTACCCGACTTATCAACTTGGAAAGGGATCAACGCCGTATCGCCTCACGAGGCGAGGCGTTTGCGTTACAGTGCGGATAAGTGTACGTTGCAGTATGGAGTTTCATACAAAGAATATTGACCGCCTCGAGTTGATACGGTTACGATAAGTGTGCTACATCCTTTAACGCCCTGGCGAGATCAAATCTTCCATTTGGCATTAGTGAGAGCCGTGCTCCTATAGTAGCATGAAGACTAATGACAGAAACGTTAGACTTGGTATAGACTCGAATGCCACAAGTACTTTACGTTGGTCACTTTGTTCAAGGCGATATCGCAATTTTGCTTAATGTATCGTCCGAAATATCAAAACATGTTCGATGCAGTATTCAATTAAATTTGATTTATTGTATTGGCAATTTTCCTAGAGCAAAAAAAAAATATTTAAAAAAGTTAAATCACCACTTTTTCAAATCTTTTTTTTGCTGGCAAATGTTAAGAGTCGATCTGAGAAAAAGGTAGCCAGCTCTACATTGAAACTGCAACTCCATTGTACAGATTACCGAGTGAGCGAAAGTACCCGTAGAACGTAACAAGCACGTATCCGGGTTTCCGTAAATCTCTTCAATCTTCTTGCCGGTGATTTGTAGCGCAAACAGCCCTTACCCCTTTCTTCGAATGACGCTGTCAATCGAGATCAATCGTCATTAGCGCCGACGTCAGACGTCGATCAGCCGAGGGTCGAGGGTTGTTTATGGGGAACGTACGTAGCTACTACACACGAGAACTTAGGCTGAGAAGTTTACTTTAGCTTGGTGTTCTAAGTTTACCTTTAGCATCAATGTGTCGATGAATTATTCCGCGAAAGTAAATAACATGGGCGGAAATGAAACAATGTATACCTACTAGTACTTCTTCTTCTTCTTTTCGTGTCGATAACAAACCTACACAGTGTCAGCCCAAAACTCCGCCACAAGAGTGGTGTTGCCAGTAGCACTCATCAAATCCTCCTGAGTGCAGTTGCTTGGGCACTCAGGGCATGACATCAGGTGCTTAATCAAATGACTAGTCACTTATTCAATCATTTTCCAAATAATATTACTAAAAAATCACAATCTTCTCTCAATTGAGAAGAATACGAATTTCATAATGCGTAACTGTCTAGCTCGCATAAATATTTATAACTATGTATTTTTAAAGCCTGTAAACCTTTGAAAAAGAGGCTGACAATAGTACAATAGTACTGCTGAGTTTCTTGCGCTGCTTCTTCTCACCGTTGGCCCATTTATTGTCCTGGAGCAGTGGTAGGGTTAATACTGGGACGTGTAAAAGTGCTTTTTTAAGCCTATTTACAGAAATAAATTAGTTTTATGAGTTTTTTATGAGTTTTATCACATTATGCTAAACTTAGATGTAGGTTGTTGTAATTATTGAAGTTTTGTAAAATTTGTATATTTACCTAACTTGATGTGTTTTTGTGACATCATCATCTTACGGATGATAATGCCCGTTGTTATATTATTGATGAACAACCATTAATATCTAAGCAATCACAATCATAAAGCCCTCAAGACTGGGACTCTAGGGCCTCAAAGCGAGGGCTTCGAGAGGCTGGTTTCTGTTGAGCATGAGCTGCACTCCGGACAGGCAAATTACTTGGCTATATTAATAGGTTTGTAGTTTGCAATGAACTCACCTACTGTCAATAAAATGGACTATGATTGGAATCCGATTCAAAGGGTTAGTCAATAGTGTAAAACACATACTTCGAAGTCGCAAAATCAAGAAAATACTACAAAAAAATTAATTACTACTTAGCACTACACTGATTTTATGCCTTAAACTAATTTTAATATTAATTAATTGTTGATAACTCATCTTAGGATTATGTTAACGAGTATATCTACATATTAAACCACATATCCCACGCCATCATTATAGTTCCCACGCCTAATTAACTCCTTCCAAAATCACGTAATAAACCGTGACATTACATAGTAAACAATAATTAGGCTGCCGCCGCAATATTCCTTTGTAACTCAACAAGGCACGTCATTAGGCGCTCCAATCAGCTAGTAATCAGGAGGGTCCTGCGGGGGCGGCCACAATGCGTCCGTTTGACACGTGAAAACCGGTTTCATCCAGTGAAAACTAGTTCTGTCCGGTTCAGAGCGCTATATGGCCGGGCGCGCGCGAAAAATGCAACTGTCACATCTGATGTCACACAATGGGGCGCAGGACGATTCGCAACGTACGACGGTTTTTGTTATTTTAATCCGCAGATAAAGAGGTTGCTAAGTAGATCCGAATGTAAGATACTTAGATAATTTTATAGGTATACTAATTATTCGGAATTTCTTACCAGTAGCCAGTCCATCTAGCTTTAACTACGTACATATTTTTTTCCTCTTTAGAAAACGTAAATCTTCAGCACATTCATTTCTACCACTCGTGTAAATCTCCCTAAAGCCGGCCACTCGCGCACCGATCGGCGCGAGACGCGCGGCGCTGACGTATTGCATCGCCGCTGCGCCCGTATTTCACCGCGCGGATTTATTATTCCGCTACAATGCCTACAATGGCAGCAACAGAACACTTTTTTGGACACAATAAAGCCTCCACAGAGTAGACGCACATGGCTCGTAGAGCTGATGGCCGCTGCTGGGGCGGAAAAGAAGTAGATTGGGCAGGTCCCCCACTTGGTGGACCGACGATCCGGTAAAGGTCGCGGGAAGTACCTGGATACGGACAGCGCAGGACCGGTCGTTAAGGAAATCCTTGGGGGAGTCCTTTGTCCAGCCGTGGACGTCACTTGGTCGCATGACATACTAGGTGTTGGGTAAATCGATAAACGAATTACCTACCTAAGAAAATAAATAATTTCATAATGTGATGAAAACTTTCCTCCTTTTGAAAGATCATACTACATCTACTAAGATACACCAGTTTTGAAAATTACGGGTGTCGACGATAATATTCAGACTGAAGTTCCAATCAAATCAAATCTTTTTTCTTGCATTACGTGTCACGTCACAGGTCTTAAAAATGTAAGCCTACTTTATCAAGTTGCATTGTGGCACAGACAGCAATAGAACACTTTCCAATGCTGTTTTTTTTGGCAAATAGAAGTATAGAAGAGTTATCAGGGCGTTTCAGGAGGATGGTAACGGATGTGTTGTCCGAGCAGATTAATTGATTTCGTTAGTAACAATTTTATTTATCGAAAGCTATAGTCGACTAAAGCTCTATTACTGTGCTACGTAGCGAAACGAGCTTTTTGCTTTATTCTAACGAACGAATATATGGGATTTACAAGTTCAGAATAACTTTTCTATGACCCAAAATTAGAGTAAGTTCATTTCGTATTAGATCATTTCATACGCGCGTCGTATTATTTTTGGCAACTTATGAGTACGAGCGAGCACAGATAGGTTTGGTTTACTTAATAATATTACATTATAGCAGTTTAAATTTTCATAAACATCGAACATTTCGAAAATACAACAATATTTTAACTCATTTTATTTACACGGTTTCCACACCATAAGTAGGTTTTTAAAAGGTATCATTAAACAAAATCACCTCACATCAATTACCCAATCCGACCGAGTCAGTTTATCTTTATTTCACAGCAATAACCGGACCCGCGCGGACAATAGCGGAGCGCTGCGGTCAAAGGCGGTGCGGATAAAGCGGAGCGGTGCGGATCGAGCGGACGGTATGAATGAAGCGGAGCGGTGCCGTCCGCTGTCACAGAGGCGGTAGGAATCTGGGGATGTATCTTGTTCGAGTATTTTAGTCTTGAAATACATTAATGGACACCATACTAGTCCTTTGAGGATATCATTGGGGGAGGCGGGGAGGCCTATGTTCAACAGTGGACGTTCTATGGCTAAAATGATGATGATGATTGTGGAAAACCTTGGGGTAGGCCTTTGTCCTGCAGTGGACGTCATTTGGCTGAATGACGATGATTCTAGTCAATACTACTTTTTTGTGATCTGTTAAAACGCGACTCTCCTAAAGATTTTGTATGACATCCCCATTGATGTACAACCCGCACTGAAGGAATATTTTATGAAGTTATCTGGTCGCGAACTCCATTTACTAACATTAATCTCTACTAAAAATCGAAGTTTACAGCCAACTGAAAACTAACTCCTTTCAGGTATAGGCCCTAAAATGCATGCCGGCGAATGTAGGAATATACATGCGTAGCAAACTATATGTAAAGTGGACTTTCAAGCGGGGGTTATCCAAAACTGAGCGAGTGACTAGTAGGCAAACTACCTACGTAACGACATTTGTGTAACGTTTCTATTCATGCCTATAATATCGTAAACAGCAAAACATTTTAGTTTTCTTTCACCGCAAGTCGCACGCGATGATATCGACGCGCGAACGGCACCATTCGCGCTATAATTGCGCGGAGTCAATTACCGCCCAGTCAAATAGTATTGATGAATAGCCCAGCGCAAATGCAAATGCATTGTGAAGTGTCATTAGATTGATTTTCAACCGACTTCAAAAAAAGGAGGAGGTTCTCAATTCGACCCGTATGTTTTTTTTTTTTTTTTTTTTTTTTTTATTAAAACATCTCCTCACAACACCATTGCACTGCAATACTCTAAACGAAAAATAATCAAATCGGACAATAAAATGCGATAAGTTTTTTCGAATACTTTCAAACAAACAAAATAAAACGTTCAGCCTTAGAATAAAACGTAACTTTGGCATTGTAATTCTGAAAGCTGTTTCAAAGCTGTACTAACATCTAATAAAATGCTTTTTACATTAGAATATACTGTCTAACAACT